TTTTTTTTTTTTTTTTTTTTTTTTTTTTTTTTTGCTAAACAGTAATGTTTAATAAATTTAACGTTTTTTAGCGCTTTTTCTGGTATCTTTTTAATACCTTTTAGTTGGATACTTTGAAAGCGATTAGAGTATATATTAGAGCGATTAGAGTATTATGAGCGATACTTGTTCCTAGCCACTGTTATTTAGTAAAAAAAGCAGTAAGTAATGTTGAGTAGCTGACTATTTTTTGAATACGTTAAAGACGACAAGGCAATAGTTACTCAAATTCTTTTTTTGGAAGTGTATAGTGTTTTTTTAGCGTTGTAATGCATATCATCCGCATGCATTTTAAGAGCTCTTGGAACAGTACTTATATTTCAAACCTGAATGAGGTTCAATCAAAATAGTTTTTCACAGTTTGTGATGCTAGATGAGATCCCGATGTTTTCAAAAAAATTCCTATGTCAGCTATCAAAGCCTTTTTGCGAGAAAAAGAGTGCAGAAAATTGTAAAAAAAGACAACAGTTCTGCGTATACGACAAAAATATATCCTATCTTATCTCCCCTTTGTTTCAGCTGTTTGATAAAGAAGAAAAATGGCAAGAAAAGTTTTTTTTGACAGAAGGTGGTAAAAAGAGGACTAAGCAGAGCGTGAAATTGCTGCTCTTGTACTAAAAACGTTACGCGTAATCTTTGCTATAACAAAGTAATTTGAACTGCTTTTGTTTTCAAATTTTTTTTTTTTCAAAACAATCTCTGTGATTGCTGGAGAGTGATGATAAACACCATGCGAAAGATACTGAGATTAATCAATCTCTCAATCTGAACGTTTACTTTGCACTGTAGTATTCAGCTGGTCTTTTACTTTGACATTTCTGCATTGTTGAGTACAAGTTTAGGAACAGCAAGTGCTACATGTGTATTTCGCCAAGAATAAGCCAGATTATCATTTATGTAGAAATTTTTATGAATTGGTTGTTTACAGTTTGTTCACACTTTTTTATTCTGTTTATTATAGTTGAGTTTAATTAAAAAACGTGCCTTTGTCAGCTTTCAGAGTCTGTTAAATGTAAAAACACTATGCAGAAATCGATAAGAAAAACAGCATTTCGCGTATGCAATAAAGGTATGTCTAAGCTTATTTTTCTTCTGTTTCAGTTGTTTGATAAAAAAGGGAAATCACTGGAAAGTTTTTTTTATTGATAGAAGGCAGTAGAAAGAGAGCTAAACAAAATTGCTGCTTTCATATTAAACGTTCCTCGTAACACTTACTATGAAAACAGAATTTGAACCATTTTTATACTCAAATTTTTTTTCCCAAAACGATCGTTGTGACTGCTGCAGAGTGATTTTAAATATCATGTAAAGTGTACTCCGGTTAAACAGTTTCTCATTCTAAACGTTTACTTTGTGCTGCAATATCCAGTTTTCTTTCAGTTTGGCATTTTACCTTAATCTTTCACTTTCGCCTGCAGATGACGTTTGCGATGTAACTGGTAAGCATTTATTTGATACATCTAAACAGTGTCATTGTGAAAAATTTGATATTATTTAAATATAAAAAATGCACTATTTTTTACTGCGTTGCTGATAGCTGTTTTAATATGTATGCACATGTATCTGTATAAGGCGTGAGAGTGGGAAAAGTAAAAAGCTTTAACGAACATCTTTAATTTATTATCTTTGATAAACTGCTTCTACCTGAGTTTGTTAGCCATTTCTACGTGTTTTTTGGTGTTAAACTCAATTTTTTCTTGATTTTTATAGGGTTTCAAACTTCTTCCGTTTTTTTTTCGTATGCTGTATACAAGCCAAGGTTTTTGTAGCATTTTTATTGGATTCAAGCGAGTATTTAAGTGAAGGTGCTGCTGCGTTTGGTAAAAAGCTCTAGCTTTGCTGTTTGTCAGGAATACGATAAAAAAGCAGATGTTTGTTTTGGATTTTTGTATCGGTGCATATTTCAGTTTGACAAATTGTCTTTGCTATATATATCGAAAAACGAAGAAAGAGCACAGCGAGACAAAGCAAAAGCTTTTAAATTTCTGCCTTAGATCTTCTTTATTATATAGAAAAACGAAACTGGTTGGTCAAAAAACAATGGTGCCAGAAGAACGTAATTGATAACCGAGAACGCGCAGCTATTCTGTATTATATGAACTTGTATGATTCATCGTTACCAAGCGTGGACGTCAAAAATTGCAATTTTGGCTGTCGATATGCGCAAAAGAATCAGTTTGAATCATGACAACAGTCGAAAAGAAAATGGAGAAGAGCGAAATGAACTAAAGAATAAATAAAAAAATACTATTATTTTATTTAACAGGTAAATACTATTAACTCTTTGTTGGCGCATAACTTGAACAAATAAAAAAACAGACATTACTTAGATAAAGCGTTTAGTTATTGTTAGTAAATTTTCAAAAGTGTTTTTACTTGCGGAATCGTTAATTATTATGCCGCCCGGTAATGTCGGTTCTCTACTCTTTTTCTAATTGCAACCGTTTAATTGGTCAGAATAATCCTACCCTGTTTCACATTACCCGTTATTGAAAACAATAGAGAGCTGATTAGTGGTGTGGTCTAAGGTTACTGCTGGTAGGATGTCATCAGCTTGGTAGTTGTAATAGCTGGGATTTTTCGGTTTTCGCAATGGGCGTTGTTGATTCTGTACTATAAATATGTGCTTGTGACTTTGTCACCTTCTGTCTCTTTTTAGTTCTTCGTTTTTGCAATAATATGGTAATACGATGTTGTCTTATTGTATTATTTCTTTCAATTATGTTACTTAAAACACTGTAACTTCAGGCAGAGCCTGAGTATTGCACAAAAAGGATCAGTAGACAAAGACTGATGTAACGCGGACTTTGGTTAGCCCGTCTTCGCGAACATTTCTTTTTTTATACATTAAAATAAACGACTAGCAATGAAGACAGAATTTAGGTAATAATGCTTTTGCATTATTACCTGAATTCTTTTTTATACAATTTTTTATACACAGCCGCATTTGAATTTTAGTCATCTGTTGTTTCGCGTGTCAGTTCAGTTTGGTACCCCAGAACCGCACTTCACCAGTACGCCTAACGGTTCCGCTACTTGAAAAACAGAAATTCTCTAGTCACATTTTATTCTATACAGCGTTGAACACTTGGAGGTCTTTAAGGTTCTTTCTAATTCTAATTCGTTAACGTGCCTAAAAACGCTTGCAGAAATATTTGCTTGAATTAGTTGCGATATTCATCAGTCCTATATTGCAGCCAGTACAGTTTCAAGCTGCTTCAAACATGCAACTATTTGGTATATCTCACTTACCGTCTAAAATAAAACTATTTTGAGTTTTAATCGTAAATTAGTGATTAAGTTTGACTTTTGCATTTGAAATGTTGCCCATTATAAGTACTAACGAAATATAAAGAAGTTTTGCCAAACGAGGTTTATGTCATCTACTTGTAGAGCCCAATTGGGTATGCGCAAAGAATATCACCTGTTGTGTTACTGGTGTGAGATGTAATAAAAAAAATCTAGTACACATCAGATGAATTTCAGCGTGTTAGCTTACTTTTGTTTCAAAGCTCTTTCTTTAACCGCTCGTTCTCATCATTTTTAAAAATATTTTGCGCGTGATTAATTTTATCAAGACAGCCTTTTTCAAAGCATTTTAGTGATAATTATTTGTGGTGTTCCAAAAATCAAACGTACAACTGTGGTCTTGGAGCGATCAGATATATCTGATCGCTAGAAGAAAGCATTACACAATAGACAATACAAGCCACATGTCTAATAAATTGTTTTATGTACAAACTGAAACTGAAACATTGTCTGTAGGCAAAGACAGTGTTCACGCACTGGTTGACGGCGAAAACAAGACACTATATGTATTAAAACTCAACTGTTGAGCTCCATTTTTGAGCAGAGTTGACATATTCCATTTGTCGCGGATGCGACAATTAACTATTGAATAAAGAAGAGAAACTGCAATTATTGAGGTACCTATCCAGATAATTGGAAAAAAAGTAAGTGATGGTTTTTAATTCCGACGCTCTGAGTACAGAGGGTATGTATTTTGTTACCTAAGCAGCTAACAGTATATAAGAGGCTATATTGAAGAAGAACTTTAGTGACGTGTTGTTCTGTTAGAATTGGATGTTACACTCCTCAAGGATCTTCAGTGAAATCTATCTTGATTTTATTCGTCAGTTATTTTCCTTTCGTCAAGTTATATACGTTCATTATTTGTCTTTGGATTCCGCATCATCTTTAGTTA